TTTTTTTTGATACCGGGGATCAAACTCTGAACCTTGCATTTGCAAGGCAGATGGCGTGGCAGAACCACTGAGCCAAATCCCCAGCCCTTATGCCTTTAAAATCTTACCCAAAAAATTATTTCCCAATACAAAGTATGGTCGCGCAAACCTTTAGTGCTAGCACTCTGGAGACTGAGGCAGGAGGGTTATCATGAGTTCAATGCCAGCACTGGCTGCATACAGAGTTCGAGACCAAACTGAGCTACACAGTAAGACTGTTTATCCTGTGTCCTGCATATTTGTCTTCTTTTGGTACTTTCATGGTTTCCAGTCCTTATGTTCATGCCTTTAATTCATTGTGGGATTTATTGTTTTGTTTGTTTTTGTAACTGGTAATAGGGTCTAGTATCATCCATCTACATGCAAATACTCGCTTTTCTCAGGCCCATTTTTCTTTTTATTCATTGATTCATTTTGATGTACTAAGGATTAAACCCAGAGCCTCAAGCATGCTACACAAGACCTTTTAATTTTTTTTTTATTTTGGAACTGGTCTCAAGTTGCCTTGGCTAGCCTTCTGTGATATTTCTGCTTCAGCCTTCTGAGTTGCTGGTATTACAGGCATACCCAACATCATTTATTGTAAAGGACAGTCATCTTACCTACTTTGGAGGCTGAAGGAAAAGGATCACAAGTTCAAGGCCAGTCTGGACAAGATGCTGCTCCAAAGTAAAAATGGATGAGGATTTAGCTCAGTATTGAAGCCTTTGATTGAGCCCCCAGTACTACATTACAAAGAAATAAAACTCTCCTTGTTTCAAAGCATGCTGTTATCATTATTTTTGAAAATCACTCCTCCTTGGTTTCTGGGTCAAAAGTAGTATATTATGTGAGGTGTGTGTGTGAGTGTGTGTGTGTGTGTGTGTGTGTGTGTGTTTCCATATAAACATGCGATTATTTTTTTCCTTAGTTGTAACAGGAATATTATCTTGGTATGATTTGTATTGACTTTGTAAATTACTTTGAATAGTATGGACATTTTAACAGTATTGATTTTTACAATCTAAGAATACATGTTGTTTGCATTTTGTGTCTTTTCATGAATTTCTTCATCAGTGTCTGTAATTTTCATTTTAGAGCTCTTTCACCTCTTTGGTGAAATTTATTCCTAGGCATGCATACATTTATTATTTATTTATTTATTCATTCATTGTAACTATTAAGGGATTGCTTTGTTTATTTCTACTTCAGATAGTTGATATTGGCATACAGCAGTGCTACTGATTTTTATACATTGATTTTGTATCCTACCACTGTGGTAAATTTGTGAATCCTTATATTTTTGGCATTGTGTTTGGAATTTTTGGTATATAAGATCATGTCATCTACAGTGACAATTTGATTCCCTCTTTTCCAGTTTGGATGCCCTTTGTTTCTTTCTCTCGTGTTATTGCTCAGGCAGGGAGTTAGTTCCAATGCTGTGTTGAATGAAATCAGTAAGAGTGAGCATCCTTTTCTTGTTCTAGAGTTTAGAAGAAAAGCTTCCAGCCTTTCCTAGTCCAAGTGTACAGTTTGCTGTCAGCTTTCTATAAATAGCATTTATTATGTTGAAGTCCAATCCTTCTGTACCTGATTTGTTTGATGTTTTTATTTTTATTGTGGATAAATATGGAATTTTATCAAATGCCCTTTCTGCATCTGTTGAGATGATTATATGGTTTTTGTTCTCCATTCTGTTAATGTGATGCAGCATTTTATTGATTTCTCTGAGTTGAATCAGAATCCTATACTTTATCAAGTGACATTGAATAAATTGTAACACTCTCCAGACTTCATTTTCTTCATCCTAAAATTTGATGTATACTGGCTAATTTCTAAAACCTCTTAATTTTTACCAACTGGGAAATACTTGACCATTTAAGACACAATGTAAATATGACTATTTCATCTCAGAAATTTATTTTTATTCTGTCCTTGAAACCCACTATAATGAATATAAATGAATTAATAAATGTATAAAGCAGTGAAAATCAAGAGACAACAAAAGATAGTGTTAGCAACAGTTTGGTGCCTGCACAATATGGGGAATAGATGGTCGTGACTGAAAAAAATCAAGAATGAAGTGTACTGAGCTTTCTGGGCAAGAGGGAAGCAATCAGAAGTATGCCCATTAGTGTGGGAAGACCTTGAACAGATTCAGCAGTCTAGATTTCAGTTATTGTGATGGGGCATTTAATAGAACTAAAAGAGACAACTTGGTTAAAAATTCCTAGTAGCTTTGAGCTATTGGACTGCCAGATATTCTTCTCATCTGATCAAACAAAGCCTCTGCTTTTCCACACCCTGGCACAAGACAGGTAGTTTCCCAAAGATGTTGAAAAGAGAAGTCTTCAATTCTGAGACACAAACAGATGCCACTGAGGGTCAGGATGAGGTTCATGCTGAGTATAAGGGAAATGTGTCCTTTCAGTGAAAGTGTGCATGCTTAGTGATGGGGTGACTTCTCAGGGTTCTGACAACCAGTCTTTCAGCTGCTCCTGGGAGACTGGAGATCAGGGTGTTCCTCTTCTGGGAAATGCCTGGCCCAAGAGAAAGGAGATGTAGTATCAATTTGATTAGCTCTTCCTGAAAATTCTGAGCCTCTGTACTTACAATGAAACCTACTGTTTGTCAAGTCCATGTATGTAAGCAGAATTCCAGGCAACATTTTGGAGCCCCCAGTCTTACCTTTCTTAGAGCTGGTATCTAAGAATAAACAGTCATCTGAGGACAGCCCGGGGCATAGAAAGAGACAACTCACAAAATGGGGCAGAGGAAGCCCTTGGTGAGCCAGGTACTGTAAGTTCCCAGGCAGAGAGGGCTGCTGCCATTAATGTCTCTGGAATGATAAATCTTATTGTTTCTATAAAATCTAACAAAAACGCCATAACAAAGCAAATATAAAAATGTCATATTATTAAACACTGGATAGCAAAGATGAAAGAATCAATAGATATATGAGAAATGTAGGTAAGTCTTCTAGAAAGTAAAACAGAGTCAAGTCAGTAAGAATAAGAAAGGGCCGGGGATATAGCTCAGTGGTTCCCCCACCTGCCTTGCAAGCGCAAGGCCCAGAGGTCAATCCCCGGTACCAAAAAAAAAAAAAAGACTTGGAGATGCAACTGAGAAGGTGTAATACCCCACTACTAGACATTTTCAGATACATAAAGCAGAGAAAATGGACAGTAAGAATGAGACAGGAATGGTAGGTCAGAACACTTTTTGTTCCCCCCTCCAAGTTGTAGTACTTTTTGACTTTTTAAAACTATCAGTATAACTTTTATATTTAAGAAAATTACTTAAATTTTAAAAAGCAAAAAGTAATTACATAGGAAGGTTAAAAATATATAGTTGATTTGTGGTTGAAGACCAATGAAATTAAAACTGGGCAAGGAAAAAATAACTGTTTCGATTTTTATAAAATGTTAACTAATTTCAAGAAAATTACTTCAATTGCCATAGTTAGATAAATTGGGGAACAATTTTCTCTTAAAAACAGCAACAGCACGGCAGTGCCACGGATCACTGCAGAAGCAGTGACTGCACATGAGTTTGTAATCAAGAATCTTGCCAAAGACAGCGGCTTCCTCTTGGTGAACAGAATGAGTTGTATCTGGGAGCGAGAAATAGTCATGAGTTATCTTCATTATAGAAAACCTTTTAAAGTTCTATGAAATTCCTAGTTATGCTTCTTTTACTTAATATACATTTATTGAGAATCTATTATATGCTAAACATTATTGTAAATGATTTATTTATATAGTATTGACCCACTTAATCCTCAGAACATCCCTGAGAGTGTAGTGTTTTTTGTCCTTGTCCCTTTTTCTCAGTTGAGGGAACTGAGGTACCCTGAAGATAGATAGTTTGTCCAAGGTCATTCAACTAGTAAGCAAAAAAGCCATAAACCACTATAATCTAACCTCAGAGGCCATACTCTTAGTTAATTCACTTCTACTCTCCTTATGAAATAAGAGAGTGCATCCAAGTAGGTTAAGTAAATTGCTAACATTCACCTATCTAGTAATTTTGGAAGAAATTAATGCATTTTGTCGTAAAGCTCTGTCAGCCACTGAGTTCCTCAGGACTCATCTGGGTGAATCCTTTCATTGGTCAGAAAACCCAGTCTACACGCTGACTGAGTGCGGGGAACCAGGTATTCCCTGTGAGTGGTCTGGGGCATACTGCAGTATACCTGGTGTCATTGTCCTTATCTGTGCTATATCTCTATCCTAGACCCCTTCGTGGTTGATGAGATAGCAACCAAGGAATTCTCGGAAGTGAGTTCCATTCACAATTTATGACAGTGCAGCCAGCACTTAAATTATTTGCATGAAGTATAACTTTTTACTCCTACAATTTTTCATCTTATTTTATGTAATTTGTAGAATATGTCACAGTATGACACATGCAGCATGAACTTAAATATCTGTCATTAATGAGCAAAGCATTGCACACTACGGTATTTCTAATGTTCAAGATTGGCAAACTACTGTAAAATATGCATGTTACAAATTTGGTTGGTTTGTTTGTTTTTCCTAGTTCAACTTTGTGGGGAAACTTTTGGGTCCACGTGGCAATTCTCTGAAGCGTTTACAAGAAGAAACCTTGACAAAAATGTCCATCCTTGGAAAAGGTTCCATGAGAGACAAGGCTAAGGTAATATTCATTATAGACAATATCTGGCCAGGTAATTTCATTTAATTATAAGTCATTCTTTTTAGTAATACCTATTATATAAGCGCTAACTAGGATCCCAAGTGCAATTATATGAAAATGTTATTAATCTGATATATTTATGATGCTATTTAGAATATTGTTACTTTCACCAATTTCAAAATATATAGTCTTAAACCTGCATTTGTAACTATTGTATTCATATATAAACTATTATATTTTCATTCTGTAAGTAATGTGTCTGTCATCTTGTGGGTAGTATATGATAATATTAAAGTTAGCATGAAGAGATCACCATTGCTGTGAGCATTTTAGATTAGTTCCTTTAGATCTTTCATTCTGTTTCAAATACAGTCATACACTTCATAATGAATTTTGGCCATTGATGGGCCACCTATGTGACAGTGGTCCCACAGATTATGTTGCCCAGTGATGCAGTAGCTGTTGCAGTTTGTTATGCACCCTGTGGTGTTCATCCAACAAAGAAATTGCCTTGCGGTGCCTTTCTTAGAAAGTATCCCTGTCTTAAGCAGTGGATGACTGTAATTGAGTTTGTTTGTTTATTTATTTATATATTTATTTTGGTACCGGGGATTGAACTCGGGTCCTTGCGCTTGCAAAGCAGGCCACCGAACCACTGAGCTAAATCCCTGGCCCTGTAATTGAGTTTATAGTGCATATATATTCTTTTTGCCCCTTGATATTACATGCATTTATTAAGTTATTAAAATTCATTTAAAGTGTTTTAATAATCATTTCCCATTCCAAAGCAGTTGCTATACTTGATGTATTCATTATGCTTTTTGTTTTTTTTTTACTTTTTTTATTATTGAGTTTATTGGTACATTTTAGGTATACAGTACAGTTACATTCATTATTGGAATCTTGTACCTTTACATGACAAGTCTTGGTTCTCAAAAAATGTTTTGTTTTTTGACAGGCTAAAAGTTACTAAGTTACTTTTACTGATCATCATCTTAAATTTCTGAAGATATTGTCAAATATCATAATGTGTGTCACTTAACGTGGTTCTCTATTGTCACTTTTTTCTCATCATTAAAAGATTTATATTACTGAGATCAGAGTTTACGTTCAGTACTCACTTACCATAAAATGTTAAACATTTGCATTTTTTATGTGAAAGTTATTTAGATGAAATCTAGCTTCTTTACAACAAATACCATTGAAATATAATAGCTCTTATAATAAAAATAGCCATCACATGTTTATTGAACAGCCATTGAGAGTTGTGTGACATTGTACACACATTACCACATGTTATCCTTGGGAAAAATACAAGATAACATTTTTCTTCTCTTACATGTAAGAACATTGAGATTTGGAGAACTAAAGTTATTATCTGGATCAATTCCTTATTGAAGTTAGTAAAATCATGGTTGCTCGCACTAACAGTCATATGTTATCAGACAAGTGTGGAATACAATTTTAAGATGTAGATTCCAAGTCCCAAACTTACTTAGGATAGAAACTCAAAATGCATTTTCAGTTCATATTTAGAATGATTCTAATGACCAGGTTTCCCCGCACCTTATTCACTGCGTAACTAAGCATTGCTGTCCCAAATAATGTTGCTCCAGGTCCCTGGCTCATCTGTTCTGGCAGTAGGAGAAAGTTAAGAAGTTGGTGTGAACTTGTGTGCCCTACAGGAAAGTGCCCCACACTTAGTGTCCTAACAGTCCTTAACAGGGCTGTCTGGTAATGAGGTACTTGACACATGCAGTGGAGCCCACAGTCAGGAATCCATTGCTTTGCTGCTTTTGTTTGTTGTTCAGGAAATACCTTGGTCCGATGCACTGTTTTGTGTCATACAGCGGTAGTGATCAGGGCATCCAACCAAATTTTGCAGGTGGAAGGAAAGTGAGGAAAGCAAATCTTTATCCATCCAGTTCTATGTCCAAATAATGGAAGTTTTTGCCTGCCCAATAAAAGGGATCCTAAATATTATCAGCTTGCTGCTAGAGTTTAGTAGTCCTTCCGTGTTGTGTTACCATATTAAGGGCTTGTGGTTATTCTCTGCTGTTGGTAGATTGGGCACCCACCAAGGCAGTCATCCTTAGAAAGAGAGGAGTCTGTGTGGAAGTAATACATAGTTTCTGTCTCTGTTGATGTGGCCACTTTGCTTGTGAGAACTTTGAGCAGCGCTGAAGTGGCTGGGACCTGAGGCCCTTGAACCTCCTCTGCCAGGAGGTGTGGTCACTACCAGGTCACTGCATACTTGCTTTGCATTTGTTTGGGCCACACCATTTTTAGATACTGAGTATCTTTCCTAGACCATTTATCACCCACTCAACAATCCTCTCATTCCTGTGACTTTGAAAACTTAGGTCACCAAACAATAGGCCAGTTCTGTAATTGGAAATCGTTCTTGTTCCATCAAGGCACCCAGCAGCTAGAGAGGGAAAGCATACACCATGGATTTACGATCCAATCAGCCCATAGTCACTGCACCGGGATCAAAAGTCCACATATCTCCTGACTTTATAAGCCCCTCTGGTCAGTGGCCTTTAGTGGAACAGCTCTAGATCAGAGTTGTGTTAATTCTTAGATCATCTGGATATTTACACACCTCTCTGTATAGTCACTGCAGTACAAGTTTTGTGGTCCTTCCTGGAAAGATTAGGAGGAAGTGGCACACACTAGGAGATGTGACTGTTGTTGAATACATGTAGTCTACCTCTCTGGATCCGACTTAGATTTCTTATTCCCCAAATTCATGGAATAAGCAAAGATCTGTCATAGGGCAGGAGGTAATAAGGAGTCATAGGAAGACATAAGACTTTCCATCCCATCACCTTTGAAGGAACTCACTGTGGTATTGAAGCAATCCAGGGAAAGCCTCACCAGATAAATTCCTGGCAGCATGGAAACCTCAGTGGGGCTTTAGCATTTGGATGATCAGAATCTTCCATGTTACCAATCCCTTCACATTTTCATTGTTAACCAAAAATCATCCTAAATATCAGGTAAGAGAGGGACAGATATGTGCACTGTCATTCAGCAGGACACAAGCATTCTCTGCTGACTTTATCAGCCTTTGGCTGCTGGCATTAAAACCTTCTAGGATATTTCTGTCTCTTTGGGCCTCTAACTGCCAACCTAAAGCTAATCAGCTTGCTGTCCCCTTCAGGGGCACAGCTGCATTGATCTGAACACTTCTGCTAGGCTCTACATCTTCTACAACCTCCCTAAAGCCTCCCTGACAACCAACCCTTTAACACAGGGACCTTTGGGGACATCCAAATTTCAAGACAGAGTAAGCCCTAAGCCTATCATTTCCTTCAGCAAAGTCTTGAGTACAGTAAGGAGCGGCCTGTTCACTCCATGCCAGCAGCTTTCTCTTCCTTGTGCCTTCCTGCTGTGCTGCTATCTCTTGTCATGTGATCCATCAGTTAGACCTTCAAAAGCTTTGCACCGAAGGCGACAGGAGATGATTGGAGTCACATGTTTACTATTAGTATCCCATCTCCTTCAGTTGTGGCATCTTGGATGAAATGGATCATTTTTACTAGTTCTAGCCTACAGAAATTCTCAGTTAATAATATATTTATTTCCAAGGAGGACCTCATTGTTTAGTATTACAATCTCATTCTAAAATGGACCTCATCCTTTTAGAGTCTCAAAATGGTCACTATTCAACAAAGCCTATAATGAGCTTCATCCCTCTTCTTTTGTTTGCTACATGGAAAAGGTTGTGGGAGTCATAGCTGAGATGCCCAGGCTCACTGTGTTGCCTGGCAGTCATGGTAATGCTGGGGTCTGTTGAGCTTTCAGTTTGTACCACGTATGGTAGATGTCCCAGCCACGTCACTTATAAGATAATAGAATAATTATTGTTACTGTGTGTAACAACAGTTAGGCATATTTCATTCACTTGTAGAATGTGTCTGTTCTAGGCATCACTTTGAGGCTTTTGTGTAATTACTCTTTCCTGCTGTGACAGCCATTCCAGTTAGGCACTACACTGTTATCCCTGTTGAAAATCACCCCTTTCAGATGAAGGTGAAGTAACCTGCCAGAAGGCCTATTAGTAAATGTTGGATTTGGAATTCAGATGCAGAACTTCAAAGTCTGTTTTCTTCCCCAGTCACCACATTGCCTCTAATCTGTAACTCATTAAATGGTCTGGTGAGAACTTCTCACTCTGTGGATACCCTGAATTTCATTATGCACCCCCCGCAAAAGGCTAAAAACCTTATCACAGTTATATGAAATCGTGCACTCGCTGTTTTATTCTCAGAGTACAGAGCCCCACACATACAGTGACTATGCAGATGAGTAAATGGACTCAGAGATGGATGCTACTGTCCAGCAGTGCTGGTGAACGTGTCTGGTGACCGCGCCCCTTTGTGGACATGTAGCACACACCATCAGATGAAACAGTTATGGCATCTGTCCCACAGAGATCACCTTCCAGGCAGGGAAAATACAGGAGTGAAGTAAAGTTCAGGTATTTCAGCTGTTTCAGGTAGGGGACAGGCACATGATATCGCCAGTGCCAAGGTGAGCTTGGGAGCTTGGCCAGACAGAGATGTGCAGGGGAGTCTGGAGCACACTGGGGAGGGGTCTGGAGCAGTCAGGCAGTCAGTGCAGTGGCAAAGGGCAGGTGATGGCTCACTGTGGGCCGAGTCAGGAGTAAGGAGACTGTTCCTGCATCAGGAGGAGCCCCTCATGGGTCTGTGAAGTCCTGGGAATAAGGCTCAGAGCAGAGCTGAGACCTTTCTCTAGGGTAGTGTTTACTGCTGAGTGAATCATTACGGCAATCTCATGCCACATAAGCACTGAATAGTTTTTACTTTTTTCTTTTCTAATTACAATACATTTTAAAATGTGATATCTCTTTCTTCAGGAAGAAGAATTGAGAAAAAGTGGAGAAGCTAAGTACTTCCATCTCAACGACGATCTCCATGTCCTCATCGAAGTGTTCGCCCCACCTGCAGAAGCTTATGCCCGCATGGGACATGCTTTGGAAGAAATCAAGAAGTTTCTCATCCCTGTTAGTACAGTTCCTTTGTTGTTTGTTTATTTCAGGGGAATTTGGGATTAAACTCAGGACTTCAAAGTGAGCCACATCCTCAGCCCTTTTTTATTGTTTATTTTAAGACAGGGCCACTCTATTTCTGAGGCTGGGCTTCAACATGTGTTCTTCCTTGCTCAGCCTGCCAGAGTGCTGAGATTACAGGTGTGCCTGACTAGTATAATTTTTATTGATAGTTAACTTGTACTTTTATGATCATATCTTTATTTTAATCCCTGAAACTTCTTGTCAGTAATTATTTGCATTGCTTTTTATCTATCCAAAGGATTTGTCATGGCAAATAGACCTGTTGTGTTCTTGTTCTTTACATCTGAGGCAGTGGAGTTTGAGAGAGATTAAATAATACTGTGTAGTTTAGGTGGCAAAATAATTTGGAAAGCAAAGTCACTAATGCAGGTTTTCAAACTCCAGCTTCTAAGCTTTTATGTGACCCTCAAAACACTTCACAAACTCTTGGTTTTCTACAAATCTATCAGAGCCTTCCACATGTCTTGCCTTGTGCTTGGTATCACATGTGCAAATATGAGTAAGGGCAGGCCCTACCATCAAGAAATGCATGGTTTAGGGGAAGTAGAGAAATATCACAGCCCGACTATGTTGAGCATAATAAATATACGACAGACAACTGTATTGTGGTTAGGACCACACTTTTCGGTTATGTCGCTGGGCACTGTGCGGGTATCTTAGCTAGCTTCTGCCATGTGTTATACATCCTGGTAATGACTCTGTTTCATCTCTTTTGGATATTTTCACATTGCTAAGTGATTATTTCATCCTAAGGAATATACCTTTGCCTCTATTTTAAAAGTTAGAAGTCTTTGGTGTGATTTGTGTATTAGTGATAAAAAAAAATTTGTGATTTGCATGTGCTTATGCCTTTTAAACAAAGGCATTCAGCATTTTGGCTTAGAGACAGTTTGTCCTGGTGACGTTGACACAGCTGCCATACAGCTGTCTGGGGAGGTACTGTGTCCTCAGTTATCCCAGCCCAGGCTGGCATACTGGCTTGGGTTCTGTAGCACTGAATTGTGACCATGTCATTTGTGATGAAAATGACTATTACATTTTTATAGAAAGAATATGGTGTTATACTTCATTTCAAAAGGTTATGACATAGAATTGCATTATTTACCAGCTTGAGTGCTGACAGTGGTTAATATTTGGCTTAGTTCCCACAAGCAAACGTGACAATTTATGCATTCATTTAGTTTAAAACCAGTGCTCACCATGTGGCAGGCACACACTATGGTCCTTAGTGTCATTGCGTTTGTGGTTTGATAAGAGAGACAGATTTGAATTTTATGTTTGTATAAGTAACTGTAAAATTGTAACTTTGATGAGACCACAACCTAACCAAATGGGGCAGAGCCTGATGGATGCAGTAGTGCCTTGTATCCTATAACCTTCACAGGCCTCTGCCAAGGAGTAAGTTCCCATTCCCTAACACTGGTTTGGGTTGGCTGAGGAAACTCTTTTTCCTATCCCCCAAACACAAAGATTTTCTGCTATGTTCTTCGGAATGTTTTATAGTATTCTTCTGTGACTTTTTGAGGGGAGAGGTAGTACTGGGGATTGAACCCAGGGGCTGGAATGTGCTAAGCAAGTCCTCTACCACTGGGCCACATCCCCATTCTTTAAAAAAAATTTTTGAGACGATTCTTGCTGAGTTACCCAGACTGGATTTGAACTTGCCATCCTTGTGCATCAGCCTTCCTAAAAGTCCTTTACTAAGACTATGGTTTCTTGGGGGTAACTTTTATGTGTCACATGATGTTAGGAATTTCAGCTTTTGTCCATGTAGGTGTCCAGTTGTCCTAGCACCACATGGTGAAAAGACTGTCCTTTACTCTTTGAGTGGCCTTGATACAGTTACTATAAAAGGTCAACTAATATCAAAGTGAGGGTCTACTTCTGCATTCTCAGTTCCGTTCCTTTGATTTTTTTTTTATGCTTATCCTTAGGCCAGTAGCATACTCAAATTAATTCTCTTAGTAAAGTTTACCAACTTTCTTCTTTTTCAAAATCATTTTTGCCATTATTATGGTGAAGAAATTCTCCTATTCCTAGTTATTGTGAGTTTTTACCATAAATAAATGGGGTAAACATAGGTCTTCATTGAGTTGATCATGTGATTTTTTTTGCCTTCACTGTACTAATAGTAGTGTATTATAAATATGTGAAGCCAAACTTGCTTTTCACTCGATCACGGTATATAATCTTTATCTGTTGCTGTACATGGTTTATTAATGAATTTTGCATCTGTGTAATCATGAGAGATAGTGGCTAATAGTAGAACATTATTTCAGTATAGTCTTATATTAACCTACATGTTTTCTGCTTCTGGTGTTAATTTCTTTAGTGGATAGAATTATGTCCCATGTAGTCTTAATTTGGGGTGGAATTTTTTTTTTTTTTTGAGCATGAAGAATTTTCTGTCTTCCTTGTAACCTAGATCTGTTAGCAGAAATTTTTTGTTTTGTTTTTCTGGGAGTGACAGCTTCATTTCACCTACATTCTGGAGTAGGGTTATGTAATTCTCAGCTGACAAATCCCCTCCTCCCCCAGCACTTTGAATGTACCACTCTGCTGCCTTCTGTTACTTGGAGTGAAAGAGTCCTTAATGATTTTGCTGTGTGGCTGTTCAGACTTTCTCTGTCTTTGGTTTTCAACAATTTGACTGTGGTGTGTTTGTTTATCCTGTTTGTTGGCTATGCTTTGTGACTATGGATTTATGTTTGCCTTTAAATGTGGGAAGTTTTCAATTATTATTTCTATGAATTTTTCTTTTTCTCTTCCCCTTCTGTCCTGGACTCCCACTGTGGGTCTGGTGGTACACCTGTTGGTGTCACACAGGTCTCGGGCCCATTCATCCTTTTTTCTCTGTTCCTCAGGCTGGATCATTTTAATTCACCTATCTTTGTTCATTAATTCTTTTGCTGTCTCAAATCCGCTCTTTGAGCTCTTTGAGCTCTTCTCGTGAACTGTTCATTGCAGTTGCTGAACATTTTTTCCATCTGTTCTTTGGTAAATTCAGTATCTGTCCCCACCCACACACACTTTGTGTTTACTGCTGTTTTGCCCCTGGGAATGGGTCACATACTCCTGTTTCTTTGCATGCTTCTTGTTGTTGAAAACTCGGTATGTGAGATAATGTATTGTAGCAAGTTGGAATCCTGACTTACTACTTCCGGGGAGGTTGTTGTTGCTTTTTGTTTTCCATTTCTTTAATAATTCAGTTGGAGTCATCTGTGGATTCTGTGTCCCTCAAGCTTTAGAGGCAATAAGTCTTCCTGGTTCTTCCCTTCTGTAAGCCTGTGGCATGCGGAGCTTTCTGTGTGCACTGCACAGGAGTCACCAAGAGCTGCTCAGAGGTGCCCTCGCATCACCTTGTGCACTGGGGAATGCACCCCAAGTTGTCTCTTTTCCTGTCTACCCCGCTCCTCACTTCCTGCTGGGATACCTGGTCCCTCCTGTGCTAAACATACGCAGACTCCCTGTGGCAGGGCTCTGCCGAGCCTGCCAGGACTCCGTGGCCATCTCATTTCTTGCCTGTTCCATTTCTGTTATCTCCCTCATCAAGATGGCACTATCAAGCTTGCTGATTTGCTTTTGTGTGTCTTCCCTATTCACTTGCTACGAAATAGGTGCCGTTACTGGCTCTGTTGCTGGTCATAGGACTTTTTTTCTCTTTATTCTAGATGAGCTGAGTTTCCTCCTATACCAAAGCTATGGATTTTCATGGTTTTCTCGTTCCTTGGAGAAACTAACATGACCATTGGGCTGAGGGGAGGGGAGGTTACATCCTCAAGCAAGGATGCCAGTGACTCCTCCTCTCCCCTTTCCCCTTAACTCTTTCCTTCTTTCCTTTCTTATTTTTGAGAACAGGTCTTGCTAAGTTGCTGCACTGGCTTAGAACTCCTGATCCTGCTGCATCAGCCTCTTGAGTAGCTGAAATTCAATGGGTACATTGTTCTGCCCACCTAGTCTTTTCTTAGATTCCATTTCGATTTTTTCGTGGGTAAATTTATTGTGTTTTCAGTTTATTGTGTATCTTCAATAAGTGTCCACACTCCTAAAATGGTTGCTTTGGAACAGTTTGTCAAATTTTATTGTTCTTTATAGGGAGATTTTGCTGAGCTCCTTACTTATCCAAAAGTACCAAGGCCTCCCATTACTTTTATTTTTTTAGTTTTTGTGTTGTGCACCTTTGCCCGTGAGAAAAGTTTTAGTTGGTTATTTTTAATATGTGCATAATATTATATTTATATTTCAGAATTTATCTAGCCAGTCCGCAAATGATAAACAGTAAGGTTATTTCTTATAGATTGTAATGTAAACAGTGATCCCAGAATTAACCTGGAAAATAAATATTGATATATCTTTGCAAGTATATATGAAGAGTAATTCCTAGCAGAGAACCCACTGAATTTCAATAAGTTACTTTCAACAATTTCATTTAAAACCCTTTTACCATTCTCCTGGTTAACATGTATTTAAATAGATTCTATACTAACTGGAGAGAAAAATCTTGCATACATGTATTTAGTTAGGATTTGTCATTATTTTTTACTTCACAGTTGATGAAAATATTGATGTTTTAATAGTTTTATCTTGGAATGGATAGTAAAATGATAATTTGTTAATCTGGAAGTCATTATTATCTAATTAGAATTCTCTAATGATTTCAAAAAATTATTTCTTTTTTAGGTTTACATTTTTATTAGTACATATATGTAGTACATAATGTTTACATTCTTTGTGGGGAGTGGGTATTTGTACATAAAACATCTAAATTTTATATCCCCTTTCTCTTCCCTCCCTTCCCCTTCTATCCATCTCTTGATCCCCTTCCTTTTTTATTTCTAAGAAAATGAAGATGTAACTACAATGATTGTATCAATAATGCACATCCAATGTTAGAGGAAATAGTTACATACAGTTTTTAAAATGATCATAAATTACATAATGATGAATTCATTTGGTTAAATTCAGACTTTCCCTCTGACATCATTGGCTTAAATCCTATAATTTTTCTATTGCTATTTGTCTATTTTAACATAGTTTTGAAAGGATGATATCTTAAATGGTCTTTAATTATAGATTTTGTGACATTATTTTAACGACCTAATCTTAATTAGAGCAATACTTTTATTTAAAGAAAAATTTTTGGTGTTTTCAAGTAGAGCCTTTGTCATTTTTTTTTTTTTTACCATAAATCCAATTTTAGGTATGATTGAGTGTCACACCCCTTAACAATTTTTAGTGTGCCAAATATTTAGCATTTACCTGACACATTTAATTTAGAATGTGCTTTACAAATTGCTTATTAATCTTCACACATTTTTAGGAAAGTGGTTGTGAACAATTCAAATGCTTATTTTGGAGAGGCTGAAATGATGATAGGTTCAGATGCCTCTTGAGGTCCAAATATCTCAGGTCAGGGAACGAATCTATATTTATGGCAATATATTGATCCCTGTTACTAAGCTTTTCCTGATATTTGTGATCACTTCTATTCATCATTTGCTTTCACCTTCTCCTGTATTGCAAGTTTGGGTTTCAACTTCCTTTTCCTTAATTATTTTTCTTATTCTGTGATGCCTTCTAAGTTTGAAGTTATTTTTTGCATTCTGCTTTTGAAAACTAAGATATTTTTGTTATACATTTACTAAATTTCTTTCATATTTTTAATTCTAAGTTATAATTCAGTAAACTCTGTTCTCTGAATCTTCTGTTTGCACTCAAATTTGTTCAAGTTTCTTCTGTCTTGAAATTCTCTCTGCCTTCAAACTGAGGTCCTTTCTCCCACAGTCAGTGGAAGATGCCTCTGCCTTTACCATGTCCATGACTCATTCTCATTCAGTCTTTATCCTGCTGACATGAATTACAGCTAAACCCTTTACCTAAAGTACTCCTGAAGTTAGTGGTGATTTGTCAGTGAATCTTAAAGAATTGGGACTTGGTTGTTTGACAGAATATGAATATAACACTGACTTTCTCTGATTCCGTACTATAGTTAACTTTTCATATTTCTCAGTTTCTTGCCACAACTTGGCAATCTACTTTGTAAATATCTTCCCCACCTTTTTGTGACAGGCTCTCTATGTTGTCCAAGCTGGCATCAAACTCAGGATCCTCTTGCTTCAGCCTCCAAATAGTGAAATTACAGGTGTGCACCACCGTATTGAGCTACTTCTTGTGTCTCGTTCCAACAGTTTTGTGGCTTTACAAATCTTATTTTTTCTTGTTAATTTAAATCTGCTTTATACTACTATAAATGGAGTCATTTTCCTAATTCCCTTTCTTTGAATTGTTCATTTGTCTTGAAATACAAGTATTTTTGTAGACTGATCTTTTATTCTGCAGTTTCGTTAACAGTCATTAGCTCATGTTTTCCTGTAGATTCCTTCATATTTTCTGTGTAGTTTATGCCATATTTAAAGTGAGATTGTCTTAGTTCTTAATTTTTAGCTTAGACGCTGTTTCTTTTTTGTTGCTTTTGTTGCATGATTGGCTAAAACCTCTCGTGCAACTTTAAATAGAAATGATATTTAAGACTGCGTTGTCTCATTTCTAACTTTTGGATGACACAGTCAGACTTTTTAAAACTAATTCTGTGGGTTTTCCTAATTGAGTATTTTTATTGCTAAAACCTGTTGAATTATTCTGTCAAAATTTAATCTCTGTCTAATGAAATAATTATGTGCTTTTTGTCCTTTGTTTCATTTTTATACTATTAAAGCAAGTGTTTTTTTTTTTTTTTTTCCTTTTTGAATTAAGGCCTTGCTATCTAGTTAGGCTGGCCTCGAATCTGTGGCAACCTTCCACGTGCTGGGATTATAGGCTGTGCCACCATCCTCGCTACATAATTGATTTTATATTAAATCAACTTTTCAATCCTGGCATAAGTTCTCCTTGGTTCTTTTATATAATTTTATTGCTTCATTTAGTTTCCCCATTATTTATTTGCCACTTTAACATTTGTGTTGATAAATGTGTATATTTGTTTTTCTAATCCTGCGATGTGTTCATTTCAGGCCAATTATTAGCCTCTTGAAATGTGTTAGGAAATGTTTCTTCTTATTAAATTTGTCAGGTTTTATAGGTTTTGTTATGTAGCTTACTGATTTAGTGGTTACAGTGCGGTCAGTCCCCACCATCTCTCCTCTTGAGAGGGGTAGGATAGATGTGCCAAACCCCAGTCTTGCCTTGGGGTTGCTGCAAGCACACCATGTCCTCCGGCTGTCACTGTGTCAGCAACACTTGGTTACCCTTGGAAGGGGCTTACTGGGCATGAAACATGGGTCCTGGGATAGAACTGTCGAAGATCAGGGACAGACACCGAATATATTGTTATTTTCTGTTCACATTTTCTATTTCTTGTCAGTTATCTATGTCCTCTAAATTACCTACCTTATTGGTGTACATTTTTTTACTGTATACACCCTTGTAATCCTTTTTTATTTCTTTAAAGTCCAGGTGATACCCCATTCTAACTGCTGATTTTAATAATCTGGGTCTTTTCTTTTTCTTAATTTATCTAGCCAGTAGTTTATCACTTTTATTAATCTTTTATACAAACCAAATTTTGATTTTACTCTTGTTTTTGGTTTACTGTTTAATTTATATTGCTCTAATTTTTATTTCTTCATTTTAGTATATTTGGTTTAGTTTCTCTTTTCTAAAGGTGAAGAGTTAGCTTATTGATTTGAAATCTTTTATTGTTTAAACCCTTAAGCTATAAATTTTTTTCTGATTGCTACTTTAGATGCCCCCTGTACACTTTGATATGTTTATTTTGAAAATTTTCATTCACCTCAGGATATTTTTAAGTTTTCCTTGTTATGTCTGTTTTGTTCAAATGGTTTTACTTAGGTTTATTTCTACATATTTCTGAATTTCTAATTCACTCTGCATTATCAGATAATGTATTTTAAATAATTTCAGTTCTTTGAAATTACTGAGGCTTGTAAAATAACTTAGCCTGTACCCAGTCCTCAGAGATAATTCACGTACGTGCACTTGAAAAGCATGTCTTTTTTGAAGAGCACAGTGTTGTGTCGGTCTCTGTGTTCAGTCGTATGTTTTCTGTACTCACTAATACTAGAGTAATCTTTTCAGAACACAGTGCACACATGGAGTTGACCTCCTTGAAACCATTACTGGCTTCTCAGCATCCAGACATTTAACACTGCCTTTGGAATCACTTAGGACTGCCAATAACTTGGTTTCTACTTTCCCTTTCACTTTTAATCTATCTCTAACCTTGATTATTATTATTAAAATTCTACCATACAGCACCTCTTTTGATTTCCTGAATTTAATCTTACTTGGCTTTTAAAATATGTTTTTCTTCCTGTGTGGAATACTTGGTTGCCCTCCTTCTGATGATTGGTTCACACCCATCTTCAGATGAATTTCTTGTAGAGAACCTACTCTTACTACTGATAACTGAACTGAATGACTTTCCTTTTTCAATTGTTTGTACCTGAAGTTTGCCTTTTTGTGAAACTAATCATAAGGTTGTATATAGTGTGTGCCTTTGTTGGCTACTGGATAGAGTTGAGGGTGGTAAGGAAGAGGGAGAAATCAAAGAGGACTCTTAGAGTTTCTGAGTTGAATATTGGATTATTACTATAAGGTAAAAAGGGAAGTATGTGTTTTAAGGAATTAATGATACTTAAATTATTGATATTTTAAATTTTGCTATAAATGTTTTATCTAGAAGCTATGACTAAACAAAGGAGTGATGGCTGACTAAAGAAATTTTTAGCTTGGAGAAAATGCTGTGGCTTTTTTTATAAAGATTTGTAAATATATTTTCATTTTAATAAACTCTTATTTCAGGAACTCAACTGTTCCCTGACCTTTTTTTTTTGTAAAATAATTTTTTGCTTTTTTATTCTGAATACTTTTGTACTTTTAATTATGGGATAAATATATCCTTTTCTCTTTCTGGTGTAGGACTATAATGATGAGATCAGGCAAGCACAGCTGCAGGAATTAACATATTTGAATGGTGGATCAGAAAATGCAGATGTTCCAGTAGTTCGAGGGAAGCCCACCTTGCGTACAAGAGGTGTGCCAACCCCCGCAATAACCAGGTAGGTGTTACTGATTGACTTTTTTAGGTTGGTGTACCAGAACAATAATTTTTGTTTCTCATATTAATAGCTAGAAACAGCTGTATTGATGAGTTTCATTTCTGACTCTGGTTTTCAGTTTGTTGTAGAGTGATGGCTAGTCCAGCACCAGAGTTACAGGTGTGCTACAGCCACTGTGTTTTCTTGGAAGCTTAAGCAGTTCCTACACTGAACACCACCCCCCAGCTGCTCCTCTTCTTCCTCATTTGTCTTCTCTCCCTGCCTCCTCCCTGTCCTCTCAGGCCCTGCCCCTTCCCTGTCCTCCTCTTCCATTTCCCCTCTCCCTCTCCTTCTTGCTCTCTCCATCCTCTCTCCTGGCCTCCTTTCCTCTCCTTTCTCCTTCTTCCCTCTCCCCTCACCCTCTACCCGCTTTCTTTAAAAAAGAAAAAAAAAGTTTTTTTGAGGCAGGGTCTCACTATTTAGTCTGGGCTTGAACTCACAATCCTTCTGCTTCAGCCTCCTGAGTACTGGGTTTATGGGCATGTACCACCGTGCTCTGCTACATTCTACACAGGTGATTATGCTTTCCTTCCTCTATGTGATTATGGTTTCCTTGGACCCAAATATCTTACATTTCTTGGTTCTGTGATATAAAATTCATATTCCTAAAAGAGGCATTCAAAACCCTTTGTATTTTTTCTAAGACCTTTTTCCACCTTAGTCTTTCTTCATCATATGGCCGTATTTCCTGTGTATTTTAACCTACCTTGAGCAGGAATCTTTGCTTTATAAATTTGTGCTTGCACCTTTCTGGGCTTTTGTTCATGTTGTTTCTTCTGCCTGTGACTATTCTTTTGCTCTCTGTTCCACTCATCTGTTTAAATTCTACTTTACAACATAACCTGAAATTTATCTTGACATATACATAGCACCTACTGTTTCCTCAGCACATTTTAAAGCACTTCAGAGATATTAACTAGGTTAAGCTTCCTAACAGTCCTCTGAGGTGAGCACTGTCTTGTTAGAGCCCCGTTGCAGATGTGGTGAGTACGGTCAGAGAGTTACACTGCTTGCCTGAGATCACATAGTTCAGGAGTAAGTAATAGAGCCAGGTTGGAATCCACGCAGTCTGGTTCCAAAATCCAAGATGTTCCCTCTGATCTTCTTGTGTTGTTCATCTTGAATTTTTTTCTTCCCCCCTTTTCCCTACTAATTTTTCTATAGGACTTTTATTCTAACACTTGCATTATGTTTTTATAGTTTTGCATGATAACACTTTCATCCAAGCTCTGATGAAAAGACATTTATTTACTGTTTTTTCTCGTGAAATCGTGGTAACTTGGAAGACCAATATAATACTATTTGAATAAGGTAATGAAAATAAATTGATGTTGAAATTAGAGTAGAAAATTACAAAAACCCCAAGGGCAAAGTTAGTAAACAAAAAAAAGTACTTGTTGTAATATTCTGTAGAAATGGTGGCGTTATTTTCACATTATGTTTTGAGTTTCCTAAGGGCCAAAAGTGAAAAAAACTTGGGTACAGAATTTAGTGTCTAAATGTCTGAGAATAGTAATAATACAAAGGAAAAGAAGGAGGAAGAGGAAGAGGCAGAAGAGGAGAGGGATGGGACAGGGAAGAAGAGAAGAAGAGGAGAAATACGAAGAGAAGGAGAGAGTATTCTTACTGACACCTAGAACTTTTCAGCCCTAAAACATCAAAGATGCTGCACTGGATATTCATACATTGATTACCATGTAAAGTAACAATACTTTTAGTCATAGCCAATGACTTAATAAGTCATTTTGCCTTTACCTCTAAAATAAACCTCAAACCACCTATTTCTTTAATTACCCCTGCCATTTTTTATGTAATCTATGATATTCTCCCAGTTTTCATTCTTAGTCTCAGTGACCATTTAAAATTAAATTTGTTTTTATTTTCTTACTTCAGATCCTTCTGTAGCTTCTCTTGCAGCTATAAGAAAGTCCAGACTTGCTGATTTCCATAAGAGTGACCTGGCACTCTCTTCCCCTTTCCGACTGTATCTCCTTTCCAGTTTCCAGCGTTCCTTACTCCTCACGGCACTGTAACCCCAACCCATATAGACTCCTTGTCAGAGAAGCCTATGCTGATCACCTCCTTTAAAGTAGCTGTCTGCAAATCCAGAGCTGGCTCTTAACACCCTGCCTTGGTTATTTAGTATCTACTTTATGTGCTCCCTTTTTGTGGGTTATTCTTTGTGTGATGTCAGTCTGTGCAGGCCCCGTGCATGTGGCAGCCCTCAGTAGGTAGCATGGTGTAGTGGTGCTTTCTGTAGAGTCCTGCTGATCGGATGCCAACTGTTCAGAATATTCTTTTGTAAATGACAGTTCTTATTTTTTACATGACTGAATTTGCCTGGGGATTAGCTTTGTGAGAGTGTTTGTACAGATGTCTAACTTTGGAATTTCACAGAGCAATGAGTTATTACTGGGTCTTCACGCATGCACCCATGCACCCCACAAAGGAAAGGATGCCTTTCCAAAATGGTGTAAATAAAGTAAAGTTAAATACTATCATGAAAATGCAAGTTTTTAATAAACGCTTTTCATTTTAGTTCCAAATTGAGGGAACTAAGCGTATGCTTTAACTTTGGAGTTCAGCAAGTCTCTGCCTACAGTGTGGCCTGGGCAGTGCCGCTCTCACTCCTTCTCTGGTCAGGAGACCCAGCAGAGAAGGAATTATGGGAGTAACACAGATGATTGAGACTTTTCCAGGCAGTGTGCGTCTGTTTTATGTTTTTCTCAGCAGGTCTTCTCACACCACATCTGACTGCTCCTGGGTGGTCTGCATTCAACACCTTGGACTCTGAAGAATGTTTTCTACCATCCTTCTCTTTAGATCTGGATCTGTGTTCTTCTGTCTAGTGGAACTCTGAGTCCTGTCTTGGCTCATGTGTTTGCCATCCATATGTTTTGAGGCAATTTTCAAGTCTTTCTAATCCTCGGTTTCTCATCCTTTTCCAAAGATAAGCAAGGATCCCAGTGTTGAAGTGGTGTTGGGTTTGATCCTGTCAAGACAGCACTCAGCAATCTCCAGCACACATGGTTCTCTTAGATTCACTGTTTCTGACTCTGTCTATGAGCCAGAAATGGAGTCTCAGTTACCATATTGTGCTGGAATAACTGCCTAAATTTTCTTTTGGTAGATCTGTTTCTTATTTGCTTTGATTCTAACTTCATATATAGTTTTCTTACTCCCTTTTTATTAATAAAAAAAAGTGAGTCATTGATTTGTCTGAGCTATAAGTGTCTTTGAGAAATGGAATAAGAGAAACTAAGATAAATACTGATGATGTGACCCTCATTCTTGCAGGGGAAGAGGAACAGTTACAGCCCGGCCAGTTGGAGTTGGAGTTCCTCGAGGGACACCGACAACCAGGGGAGTCCTTTCTACTCGAGGACCAGTGAGCCGGGGAAGAGGCCTTCTCACACCCAGGGCAAGAGGAGTCCCCCCTACTGGGTACAGACCTCCACCACCACCCCCAGCACAGGAAGCCTATGGAGAATATGTAAGTGAAGGCGTCATGTGACAGCTGTGTCGCTGGAACTGCCCAGTCCTGACATAGCGCTAGATGTCATAGCTAAGTGCTTTCTGAACCTCACTTGAGTTCCTGAGTATCCTGCCTTTATGTCATAATCAGTTATTGAATGCTAAATACTTAGCATTAAGAATGGTAGGGACCTTTTTAGCAAGTAGCTGAAATCTTTGGTACAGAAGAATTTAGTGGGGAAGTGCAAAAGACGGGTCAAGGAGACATGCTGCTAAGCTCTTATAGAAGTTCAATGTAGCCTTCTTTCATATTCATCTTCAGTTTGCCTCTGAGTAATCCAGTCATTTAGAAAAGATCACCTCAGTATTATGAAGGAAGCCTCATTCTCTAGTGTTTCCTTTTAAACTGTGCCACTAAGTAGGAATTTTTAGCAAAAAGTCAGTGAAAAAAATAAACGGTCTCTATTTTTTAATTGATGAAGTTTGCCATTGACTTAATTAGATAACCTTGTGTCCCTTGCAGTTCAATAATTCTATTTTATGCTACCTTAAGTAGGTACATGGAAATAAAGAATTGTTAGGAAGAATGGGCTAGGACTGGGTTTAAAAGCAGACAGGACACTACTACTCCTTCTGTTGGCAAAAAGAGAAAAAGCACATTCACTAAAAATTTTCAGATGATCTATATATCTAAGGAATTAAAAAATATAAATTTTAAAGGTGTCCCTGAGGCTGAGTGTTAGCTCAGTGGTAGAGCTCTTTCCTAGCGTGCCAGAAGCTTGGGTTCTATCCCCAATACCACAAGACAAACAAACAAAAGGTGTCCTGGAAGTACCTTCACTGTGATACAGTTTATTTCTGTAGGTATGCTTGACTATATTTAGACAAATAAGTTTACTCTAACACTGATTTAACATTTACTGTCTGAACCCATTATTTCCAAAATAAACATTGAAAAAAGAAATGCATAGTTACTTATTTAAACAAAAAAATATGGGAGGAAGTATCCTATTTTTCCTGGCATGACTGCTGCTTTTTTTTTTTTTCCTCGCAGTACCAGGGATTGAACTCAGGTCTTGGCACTTGCGAAGCAGGCAGAACCACTGAGCTAAATACCCAGCTCTAAGACTGCTGCTTTTTTGAGCAAGGATGCATCTCAGTGCTTGAGATACTCAATATTTCATCTTACGTGTGGTAAAATGAAAAATAAAAAAAGTATTCTCACGTAGATTTAGGCCTAAGAAAGGTACAATTAATGCTGTATGTTCTACTTATTATTGTAAGTAGTTATAAACCTTTAAAGATTCTGCTTTATTAGGCTAAATGAGAAAAACTGGCACTTCACAAGAAATGGACCTGTAGAAATTGAATTGATTTTTCCAAAAGCGATTTAAAGATTCCTGGTCATTTAGAGTGTGGTCTGAGCCAACCATTAATGAGTCACCAAAGACTCCCTGAGTGTGTCTTTGAGAATCACATCTGTTGGCAGACAAAAGTACTTGGCCGTGAGATTGTTATTCCTAGAGTAGGTTGGTCATTGTTACAACCAAACTCTCCTCAATGGAGATGGAATGCTTATCTGTTTTTTTTTAGGGGAAGGAGCCTATTTGGTTTACACTTCCTAGAGGTTTCAGTTCGTAATCAGCCAACTCCAGGGCAGGGACAACAAATAGGCATGGCAGAGCAGAAACAATAAGGCACATACAAGTCAGTGAAGGTTAGCAAGAGAGTTAACAGGGTCTCCCAGCCGTTTTTATCCTATTCAGACTAATTAGGGAGTGCAACACTCACACCCTTAATCCCAGTGCCCTTCAGCCTAGCTTTGCTTCATGAATCAGTTCCAGCTTCACACACTAGATAAAGCCTATGACCACATGAGGCTTTGGGGGGACATCTAGACCCAAACAATAACATTCCACCCATGGTTCCCCAAAGACTCATGTACATTGTTCCACACAAAAGGCATTTAGTCCATAAAAGAGTTTCCAGAGTCCTAAAAGTTGCAGCATCTCTGAAAAGTCCAAGTCCCAAGTCTCCTCAGAGATGTAAGGCAAACATTTAGCTGCAAGCCCCTGTACAAATGAAAAGAAAGCTAAACACTTCCAACATTCAGTGGCATAAGATAAACATTACCATCCAAAATGTACAAATAGGGGGTTATAAAGGAATGGGACCAAAGTAAGTCCAAAATCCAGTAGGGGAAACATTAAATCCCACAGTTCCATTTCCAGCATCCCCAACGATCTGTGGAAAGTTGTGAATGCCAGAGGCTTTTGGTGGCTCTGTCCCTGTGGCACTTTTGGCGGTTGTAGCTTCCATGGCTTCTCTCTTGGGCTGGCTCCACTCCTTCCTTGCAGCTTTCCTCAGAGAATCCATGCTGTTGGTGTCTCCAAATTTCTGGGGTCTCCAGTGCACCTTTGGCTTCACACTCGTAGCTTCAAACATTGCCCTCTCAGGGGCACACTGCCAGGCCTTCTAGGCCTCCTTCTGAAATCTTCCTCACTGCACACTTCTGGCATTCTGCTTTCACCTAAAACGAGTGCCACGTGGATGATGCCAAGGTCTGTTGCCAGCTGGAACAATTGTAGCCAGTCTTCCCTCTCTCCTGGCTATAAGGGTCAAGTGCCTGGATTCCTGAGCACTCCGAACCCAATCCCGAGGAACAAATTCTCTAGGTTGCCACCATTTTGGAACAACTTCCCTAGGCTGCTGCCATTCTGGAACTTGGTGTGAGTGTTGCCATTTTGGAGCCTGGTTCTCTCAGGCTTTTTTCTCAAAACAAATTCCTCCGCCTTTATAATTCTGAGGCTGCAGAGTGTGGAGTCCTGCTGCTTCCTGTGATGCTCTCAAACCATCTTTTCTATTTTCCTAATCCTTCTCAGTAAGCAAGATCTGCTCTGCTCCATCTTTGCAGACCACAGCTTTACTAGAGCTTCCTTTCTGACCCAACTCAAAATGTTTTAAATCATTCTTCTGGGCTCCTTGCTCTTGATTCTCCACATAGATCTGGCTAAAAGCCCCCAACAATAGCCATGCCACTGCCTCAATATTCGACTGCCTTGAAATTTCTTCTGCAAGATTTATTAGTCCACCACCCTTAATCTCAGCCTCAGGCAGAGTCTCTGGACACAAATAAAATGCAAATAAACTTTCTGTCGAGCCATAACACCTATCGTCTGGAGTCCAACAGTCACTGTATTCCTTTTTCCCAGCAGATCTCTCCTGACCCTGGTCTTTACTGGCTTTCTGGTTTTCTGAGCTCTGACCAGAATCTCCGTACAAAACAGCCTGAGGTGTTCTAGCTGTACTTCTGTAGCCAGCATCTCCGGGTCTTTCCCCATTTTCCCCTTCAAATAAGCCAGTTCCGAAGGTTTTTGAGCCACATGGCCAGGTAATGTCGGAGCAAGGACCCCACTTCTCTGGTGCCACATCTCTGTGTTAGTTACCTTGTCTCACTGAGACAAAACACCTGAAAGTTAGAGAAAGGGTTTATTTGGCTTACCCTTCCTAGAGGTTTCAGTCTACAGTCAGCCAACTCCAGGGCAGAGACGACAAACAGGCCTGGCAGAACAGAAGAACGTGGCACACACAAGGTAGTGAAGGCAACAAGTGGAATGCTTATCTTTTAAGAAGAACTCTAAACAAGGCAATTCAACATGATTAGTGTTATTTTTCAAAAGAAAGTAGATAATAGATGTTATTTGAGTATAAACTGTGACTTTCTGCTCTATTTTTAGCTTAGAAAAGTTAGACATAGTTATGGTAACTCTTCTTTTGTGAGAATTAGAAGTACCTCTTTCCCCTAATACATTTATTTATAAGGTATATTCAAATAATTAAATAGCTGAAAAATTAACTAGCATAATCCCAAATGCATTTACTGAGAACACTTTAACAATTTAAAATGTTGATATAATTATACAGAAAGATAAGCCTGACACTTGCTTTCTGAACTCATCTTACCAATAATTTCTAAGGTGAAATCATTTTTTGATAAGTTGCATTAGGGTCAACATGCAAACCAAAAGCATGCAACAGAGTAAATGTATGACCATTAAATCTTTACTCATTTACTCTCTCTGAAGGACTTAGCTGAAACCCAGAGATAGTAGAAGTGAAAGGATTTCCTGGGCCTTTGCCGTTTGGAATAGCTCTAAGTCAGGGTTCAGAGGAAGACAGGAGAAGGAGGAGCAGAGAACAGATGCCAAAGAAGATCTAGAAAGAGTGTATAAACAGAAGGAAACGTATATAGAACAAGAGCCCTGTAACCTCTTGCTACACATCTTGAGCCTCTGGCAGAATATACTTTCAGACTTACTTAAATCGGTCCAGATGCCTGAGATCAAAGGGCAGAGGTGACCAAAGTCCACATTCCCGGCAATGGTGCTCTTTCCTGATGACCTCCTGACTCCAGTTTTGAAAAGCTGTTTCAATGTTGCTTTATCACTTTTTAAAAATTACTATTATAACCTAAGCACTTAAAAGTTAATAATTACTTCAAGGAAACTTGTTTTTTGTCAGCTCTTCTGCTGTGTCTTAGTCCTTTACCTCCGTGCCATATGTGTGGATTTTTGTCCCACAGCTAACGCTTCTCTGCAGATAATGACAGAGGTAAAGGATGATTTATAGTTTAGCCCAGTTCTAACACCAGATACCTGGACAAAGCACAGATCCCACAGGTTCTGCAAAAACCTCGAAAGACTGCTCTCTACTTCAGTAGGCAATCATAAGTCGTGGGTCCCCTGCTTACCTGCAATTTCTGTCTTCGCTACAAGTTGGAAGTTGCCATAACCCCTTCTTCAATTTCTGTAATTTACTAGGACAGCTCAGAAGTCAGGTAAACAACTAAGGAATAAGCAGTACTTTATTCTTTGCTACGTATGAAGGAGCATGGCCTGGGAACTTGGATTCAGGTTACCCTGAATGATGCACTCTGAAGTGAAAGAGGCTCCTTGATCCTTCATAGTCAGATTTTAGATATGCTATCTCCCCACCCCCCCATAAAGCAATTATTTTAGA